AAGAAATTTAAAATTTTTTTATAATTTTTTTCTGTTTTTTTTTATTTTTTTTTTTTTTAAATTTTAAAATTTTATTTATTTATTATATTATAAAAAAAAAAAAAAAAATAAATTTAAAAAAAAAAAAAAAAAAAAAAAAAAAAAAAAAAAAAAAAAAAAAGTAATTGATTAAGAAAGTTGGTAAGATTGGAGGTAAGTAAATTTTTAGTAAAGTTAGTTTTGATAATTTTATTTATAAAGAGATTGGAATAGAAACTTTGAAAAAGTTGATTTTGGTTCTGATGAATTGTTGTATATAGAAATTGTTTTTTGTTATTATTAGATATTACTGTAAGTACTTTATAGTAGGAGTTAGTTAAGAGAAAAATATACTTAAAAGTATTTTAGAATTGAAAGGTTTTTAAAAAGCTAATAAAAAATTAATTGATAGAATGAGTTTTTATTATTGTATAGATAATATTTGATAATTTATTATAAGTTAATTTTTTTTTATTGTGTTAATAGAAATTTGTAATGTTTTTTAAATATTATAAAGATAATAATCTTATATATATATTTTTTAAAAAATTTTTAAATTATATAATAATAATAAAGATTGCAATAAGGTGTAATTGTCATAAAAATGAATTAATTACTATATTGATTTTTTTAGTTTTATATTTGATCTAAAATTATTGACTTGCAAAGGTTTTAATTAATAGATTTGTTTATAAAACAAGTTTTATTGGGTTTTTATAAAGTTTGAAAAAGTATAATTAATAATTATAACAAATCATTAATTTTTCAAATATAATTTTTAAAGCTTGATGGCATAAACAATAGTAAGAAATTTTTTTTATAGATAGAATATTTAAGTTTAACTTATATAAATTTTTATAATTTAAATACAATATGTGGTTTTTTATTTCCTTGATTTTGCAATAGCACAGCACTAATAACAAAGTCAAAAGTATTTGTAATTATAGTAAATAATTTGATCAGATCAGGTAAGAGCAAAACAGGTGCAAAGCAATTTTTTAATTTCTAAAAGAATTTTTCCTAATCATTTCCAAAGAATATTTCTTATTTTTGTGAAGAAGAGTGGTGAATAAAGATGCAATAGCAAAAAATTCCTTGGCAAATTTTCTATAATAATTAACAAGACAGAAAGATCTTAATTAGACATGTTAGTAGATACTGGCCAATTTTTAATAATATCAATTTCTCTGAAATTTATAGTGACTTCTTTGGTGGAAATAAAATATTCTGTATATTTCAAAAATTTTTAGTTAAAATTTTTGTTATACAAAAAGTTCTTATTATAGTATTAATGAAATTTAATAAAATATGTTTGTTTTAAAAATAAGATATTAGTGATATGTGGATAGGTTTACGAAACATGAGGTGAATGAACAGGGTTGCGTACTGTATGTGCGTGAATCATTATAATTTTAAGGTCTTGTCCGCCTTCATAGTGGTTCAACTGAATACAGTATACATTTAATTATATGCTAAAATAAAATTTAAATAAAAATAAACTAAATTTAATTAAATTTCTATCCCCTAACATTATTACTGTGAATCTCAGATAAAGTCGTCACTATTATTTCTATGCTTGGCCTTATTTCTGGTTCAGTTTCCCACATACTTAGTATTAAGTCAATTATAGAATTTCCTATGTTATTTCTTATTAAAGGATCTACAGATGGTCGATCACCTTGCATAACCAATCTGTAAAGATCGTTTTCACTCTTGGGATTAAATTTTGAATAAGGAATTCCTTCCTTTCCCCAAGTAAAAATTTCCCAGAAAACAAGTCCAGCCGAATAAATATCAATCTATCAATAGGGCTTACGTTAAATTTATATTTTAATGCAATAAATAAAATTATATTTTAATTTTTACCTTTTCATTGTAATGTGCAGACGTACGAGCTAGTATTTCTGGAGCTTTCCAATTAGGATATGCTCTTGTAGACATCAGCATTTCCATATGTGATATTCTTGAAACTCCAAAGTCAGAAATTTTTGCAGTAATGTAATCTGTATTACTTGATTTTATCAAAATGTTATCTGATTTCAAATCCTAATAAATATCAAAAATAATTATTCAATTGAAATAGACTATTTCCTCAAATATGAATATTTACCTTATGAATAACACTTTTTTCATGTAAATACTTAATACCATCGGCAACATCTTTCGTTATCTTTAACTATAAAATAAAAAATAATTAATGACAATTAAGAGATAAATTAAGGCTCCCTCAAAATATTCGACATTTAGATAAGAATTACCTTTAAACCTATACCATCAGTTCTTTTCATAAAATCTAACAAACTTCTGTGATCACAATATTCAGTTAGAACACAACATCTCTCATTATGATAACATATCCCAATAAACTCTATAATGTTTTTATGGTGTAAATTCTTAAGAAAATAAATTTCGCGTTCAAAATCACTTTGACCAACATTATGATGTAACATCCCTACAGCAACAGGTTTATTTTCATAAGTTGCATAATAAATGGTTTTAAAAGAACCACGACCTAATTCTCCACCGAATTGAATCTCGCGG